GGGAAGGAGGACGGTGCAACAATATGGCAAACTCTGATCAACATTCCCAGCACAAGGGTGAAGGGGGATGAGAACGCCAGTGTAGAGTGTGGAGGTTTCTAATAAAAGCCGCTCAAAAGGGCACACCATACTACATTTAAATAAGTAAAGAAAAATTATGATAATGAAAGCGCGTTACGAGGGTATAAGAGGGGTGAACAGACAAGGACAGCAGGGATAGCACAACTATTTAGCACATATTTGGTCAAAGGATCGACTTCACTTGTCCCTGACGAGTTGTAGTATGGTGCCAAGAATGGCAAGACTCACTGACGATTTCGTCTACGATGCCGGCGAAATGTCTGGGAATGTAGCACGTCCACTGTCAGACTTTGGAATTTATCATGCATACAATGGACTTCGGACTAGTTGCGTTTCTCTACCTATATGATTACGTTGTGAGAACAAGGTCAAACAACTCCAATACTTATTGTAAATCAGATTGAGGATTCTAAACATTTTAGTTGTTTGACCTGGTTTTCACAACATAGTCATATTGCCAGGAAAACATAGAAGGACGCACCTTGTCCAGAGTCCATAGTATGCCTATAATTTCCTTTCGGACCGTGGACTTGCTACATTACCAGACGTTTCGCTAGCATCTTCAGTGAGCCTTGTCATTCTTAGCACAATACTTCAACTCGTCAAAGAGACAAGTGGAGTCGATCATTTGACCAATTGTCTGCTAAACAGTTGTGGTATCTCTCCTTATCCTATATCCCAATATTACTTATTCACTATCACAATTTCTTAATTGCTTAGTTCAACCTGATTTTGCTGTGCCCTTCTGATCTGATTTCCTGAGATCTATTCACACTCCCACTGGTTTTCTCTTGCCCCTTCTTTTGCTGGGAATGTTGATATGAGTCTTTCCTTTGGTTCTATCAGATGCGGATCCTGATGCTGGCGAAACCTCTGTAAATGTACCAAGTCAATGATCCGACTGAAAATTATCATGCATACTATGGACTCCGGATAAGGTTGGTTCCTATAGGTGCTTCTGCCAATATGACCAAATTGCAAAAACAAGGGCAATCAACTACTACACAATGAAATGCGACCGCGATTTTTTTAAGGGCCACGCCTTCTTGGTATTTATACCCTCGATATTTCTTTTTGTTGTTTTATTAATTTTCTATTTTCTATTACGTTTTAAATAACTAAATGAACGCGGTGTGACCTTTTTTATAGTCACAATATCATTATGCTGAGTTAATCGGATCTAGTATTCGCATATTTTTTGGAAGACTTCAAATGATTTGCCTCATACTGTATCTTCTCTTTTCTTCATGCATTCCAACATCGTTTCAAAAACTGGATACATTCTTGGGTATTTTGCTAACATTTTTAATGAGAAGCGCCATTCTTAGCACCTAGCGTCACTGGCGAGCTAAGGATGGCCGTTCTCTTTGACTCTGTCAAATAGAGATAGGAAAAGTGTTCGTGAGTGTACTCGGTTTACAATAAATTGCTTAAAAAAGACGTGATAACACAGACAGGGCTTCGAGATTATATATTCGAAAACCCCCAGTTTCTCATCTGTATGACGCCTTTCTTTCTTATGCCAACTTATCGTTGGTATCGATTATTTTCCCATACATTATTACAAGTAAGCCGCAATAAATTTTGAAGCGTCACTTTTCCATTTGTTTTGCTTTAAACAGGCAATTTTTTAAATATTTAAATAAAATTTAAGATATAATTATGAATACTATACACATGCTAATATTTAACATTATATAACATTGGCTTTGTTTTGATCTATTTGATTGGCTACTATCAATTCTCTATATATTAAGATTATTTTAAAAATCTAAATGTTATTATAATCTATTACGCCAATCATACATACCCTCACATATAATTTATTAGTTGACATAGTTGACCTTAAGTCCTGAGCACTTGTGATATAATTTATCCATGAATACGAATTGGTAAAATGTGATGCATCTTGGTTGCCATTTTACCTTTCATTTCGAGAACCAACACTAAATCTAAATAATTTCGTTGATTTTAATGACAAATAAAGTTTTGCTTAGCCGTCAGCCTCATTAAAAATGCGATATAGAAGAGGCCTGGCCCATCTTGAAATTCACAGCTGTCGTGTCACCCACGGACTTCCGTGACAGTGCGGTGTGCTGATAGCATCGGAATTATACGTTGCGCTACCGGGCTTCGATTACGTTGGGGAGGCCAATGAAACCTAAGCGGTCTAGATTGCAGTTCACCCTGGATAAGAATACCTTTTTGGAAGCAAGGCTAAGTTAAATTCAATGAAAATGTGAAACCTAATCGTACCATAGTGAAAAAATGTAGCTGCTAATCGTTCATCATACTATGCAACCTTGGGCCAAAATCTATTAACATTTTGGAAAATCTGCTTACTTAGAACAAGCTCTTCTCTTCATTCGGAACGAACGTTTACAATTGCATCCGATTTCTTTAGCCTATTATATGATTAATTTGCGTTTTAATCTTGATTTTCTATGACACAGACCATCAGCGCAGCAGTGAAGGTGATGCAGACACTGGTCGCCGGTTCTACAATATCTTCACCAATAGCCGCGGAAGTAGTGGCGGGTCTGGGGCCTGCTCTAATCTCACTAGTAGCCTCCTGACTCGAACTCACCGCTCTTCCCCTGGTTACAACGTTACTCAGGTAAACATTTAAGCCCCATTTCATCGTAGATATGAAGTCCAAAATGGTGTGGCCTTTTGTTTGGGCGCAGCCTTTTTTAGTTGTATAGCGCTTGTTTGTCTTCTTTTTCGAAATTTGCTTAAGTCAACGGAGACCTTGTGTAACGTTGCTTATCCTTCGTCCTCTGTCAGCAGTCGTTATGATTTCCAGCATCGGATCGTTGACTTAGTACACTTCCAGACGTTTCGCCAGCATTGTCATTGAGAGGCGTCATCCTTAACTCAAAGTTGCAACTTATCAAAGTGGCAAGTAAATGAATTCCTATTGACCTCTTTTATGCTCAACCATTGTGGCACACTTCTCGCCCCCATTTGTCTTATCTCCCAGTGCTGCATCTCTTACTCTCAATTCCACCTCATATGGCCTATTTACCCATTCACACCTGTCTGTGCTCCAGTTTCCTCCAATTTCTCCTAAGAGAGTCGCTTCAAGTAGATTTAGAGAAGCATAACCATCTTTACCACCTGTTTCAAATTCTGTTTGCAGAGCTTCTGATTTACATTGAACCTCCCTGTCACACATTAAAATTACTGTCTGGCTGTCTGAATTCTGGATGCCTATGAGTTTTCAATTTAGGTCCCTATTTACGTTATATATGATGATTTAAAACAGGTATTTCTCAGGCCTAGGGATCGACTTCTTCCTAGGTTTCAGACCCATGACACAGTTATTTTCTTTATTATCCCTTTATTATTGTGGTCGCGACCATACAAAAGGCCACACCATCTTGGTCTTCATACCTTAGATATTACTTTTGTTTCACTTGAAAGTAAATACAATAGTATTTGCTCTTAGGATAATTAAAACTTAATCTGGTGCATTTTCTTTTAATTAAACATTTGATTATATTAAATCCAATTACTCTTAATAACATTTTACAATTAAACTTTCTGTATATTTGATTTGACGGACTATTGCAGTCGGCATTGCAGTCTCCGAGTAACCCCTTCAACCAGTTCTCTTTGCCCTTCACTCCGGGGCGTCATCTCCACTTGAATAATCAACATAATCACCACTCATCTTTCTCCCCGCGGTACCAGCACTCTGCTACTGGCGTGCTCCTATGTCAGCGCGAGCTGGCATTCGCCCGATGGACCCAAGCTTTGGTGCGGCACTGTCGGAATACACGGGTTGACTTCAGTGTAGAGGAAGACAGAGCCAAGCGCCAACGCGAATTGCGCACTTATAGAGCTCTGGAAATCAAGGTCATTAAGTTAAATTTACAGGATATCGTTTTCCTAACGATGGTTACACTCATGGTCATGCTATTGTTTAATTCCTTTTACGCCCAATTTTTATGACTATCAAATTGTCTTTAGCTTAAATATGAAAGTGTGCAAATACACCATTT